CCAGACCAGGCAGCGCCCATGTGCGCAGCCTCGGCAGGCCCATTGGCCGAGTCAGCGCCCGACCGCCCGGCTCGGCAGACCGACGGTCCGGTCCAGACCGGTTCAGTCCAGTTCAGACCGGTTGGATCGGTCCAGCCCTAATTTTATGTTTTGGTCCCGGTTCATGTTAGTCTCATTTTCAGTTAAATTTCTGGGTTCAGTTTCAGTTCAGTTCAGTACAATAATACCAGTTCAGTTCCGTATTTAACCGGTTCCAGTTATACCGATTAAATCCAAATATCATGTCGAGTCTAGTAGAGCATCTTAACATAATTAATCAGTTAATTTATCAGTCTGAGCATAGTCCTTAGTAATTGTTTATATTATATTTCAGTTTGATCAGGCATCAGTTATTAGCACTGCCTTTCATTTTCACAGATCAGGTGGGGACTCAAACTAAGTACTACATTGATTATAATTTCGCTACCATGTTTGAGGTTTGTATTATCAGTATCCACTCGGAATGGTCGCCGGTCCATTCTGAGTTCTAGTGGCCTAGTCTGCCCACTAGAGTGTGCACATGGTGTCCGGCTATGCCGGAAGATGTTCAGTTATCAGACATGTGATTTATATCACGAGATCAGTATCAGATTATTCAGTACTGGTATCAGATATCAGTTATCAGTTTCCGTTTCAGTTCAGTTATATATGCCAGGATCATAATATTGTTATTATTTTCACTGTTTTACTTTAGTATGAGTTTCTGCGGAGAACAGTGTTTTAGTGCTCACGCCCCCACGTATTTCATGTTTTTCAGGTCACAGAGTCGGGGACGAGGAGTGAGCTGATGAGCTGTTCAGGATATTTGTTTATATGTATATATATGTTTTTGGCTACGCTACCATTCCGCTATAGTTTTCAGTACTTTAAACCAGCTTTTGACCTGACGTTAGTCGGTTAATATATTAGATAACCGTTTTTATTATCAGTTTAAAATTAAGGGTTTTCAGAATAAAGTCAGATTTTACGGTAACACACTGAATCAAATTTCACAAAAGAAATATTTATTTATTTTATTTAGGAAAATTTGCGAAAAAGCGCACTCTGAATTTCAGTAAATAGCGGGGTGTTACAATTGGTATCAGAGCACGTTTCTGCGTCTCTGAAAAATTTTACAAGTCAGAAATTTTGCAAAAACCTGAACCGTCACGCTCACGCCTCGCCGACTACAGGTAAGTGCTGATTTATGTTTTTATGTTATAAACATATTACTTTGTCTATGCTCAGAAATTTATTAATCATGAATTAGTTAAGAGGCTCGAATCAGGTTTAGAACTTATAGATCAGTGTACTCAGATATAACTCTAGATTTCCTCAGGATTCAAGTCAGTATTTTCCAGCCACATTTAGCTACTCGTCAAGAGATTTGTGTGCTTTAGTAATCAGTTAAAGTATTTTTCATGTGTTCAATAATATTGAACTTCCTCAATGTTCAGATGCCGCCTCGTGGGGTACCCGATCATCCAGTTCTTCCTCAGGCCATAGTAGTCGCACAGTTTCGCGACTATCACCCTGAGAAATTCTCTGGGCAGGGAGATCCCCGTATCGTGGACGAGTGGATTCAGGGCCTTGAGTTGATTTTCGAGGTCATGGATTGTCCAGATCGATATCGCGTTATATGCGCACAACTTCAGTTAACCTGCGATGCCCGACTCTGGTGGAATGCCTACTGGAGCATGCGTCTCGGCGAGAAGGAGGGTTGTACCTGGGATAGGCTCAAGGAGCTGATCCGCGAGAAGTACTACCCCACTTATTACCGAGGAGAGATGGAGCATCAGTTTCTGTCGCTCAAGCAGGGTACTCGTTCTGTTGACGAGTACGAGAGAGAGTTTACCAGACTTGCAGCTTTTGTTCCAGACTTGGTTCGTACGGAGGCACAGAGGGCACAGTGCTTTATCGACGGGCTTTACCCAGCAGTCCGTCACAACATTGTAGGTCACGGGACCCAGACCTATGCTCATGTTGTTTCGATTGCCCAGGAGGTGGACGCCAGCATTCGAAGGGAGGCCAGTCGCGATCGTTCTCAGCCATCCGCCCCCGCCCAGTCATCCACAGCTCCGCCAGCCCTACCAGCTGCTCAGCCGACGAACGAGAAGAAGAGGAAGGGGAAGGGTGCACAGACCGACAGGAGGACCCACCAGAGACAGCAGCAGGTTCCACCGTGCCCCACTTGCGGACGACTTCACCGAGGCGAGTGTCGCTTTGGCCAGGATGTATGCTACTATTGTCACGAGCCCGGACACTTTGCTAACCGTTGTCCGAAGAAGGCACAGCAGCCTCAGCAGCCACAGCAGCAGCAGCAGCAGCCCCGTCAGCAGGCACAGAGGCCGCCCCAGCAGCAGCAGAGGGGCAGACAGCAGGCCCGAGTTTACGCAGTTGATCAAGTCGAGGCCGAGCAGCAGCCAAGTACTATGTCAGGGATGATTATGCTTGATGTTCCTGTGTTCGCTTTATTCGATACTGGAGCGACACACTCTTTTATTTCACGACGATGTCTTGATGCTATCGGAGTTCATGCTATTACCGCTGTCGATCCTCTCGAGGTGAGTTTAGCCTCGGGACGAAAGATAGTGACTACAGCTAAAGCCTCAGATCTCAGCCTTTCCGTCGGTGGTCGAGCACTGTCTACCGACGCATATGTTCTTGAGATGAGGGACTTTGACCTCATTCTCGGAATGGATTGGCTATCCTTTTATCATGCAGATATCCGATGTCATGACCGGGAGATTACTCTCTATCTTCCGGGAGAAGATTCGATTACCTTCTTTGGCACCAGGAATCGTTCATTACCTCATGTCGTTTCGATGGCGAAAGCCACCAAGTTGCTGCGACGAGGCAACTGCCAGGGTTATCTGGTGAGCCTTGTCGATGATTCTCAGAAAGCACGATCACCTCGCGACGTTCCCGTTGCTCGTGAGTTTGTGGACGTGTTCCCAGAAGAGCTTCCAGGAGGACCGCCTAACCGGCAGGTAGAGTTCTCTATCGATCTCATTCCAGGAGCCGGCCCAGTATCCAAAGCTCCGTATCGTATGGCGCCGAAGGAGTTGCAGGAGCTTAAGGCACAGATTCAGCGAGTATCCTTTCTTAGCCATGTCATTACTCAGGCAGGTATCGAGGTAGATCCTTCTAAGGTCTCAGCTGTTCAGAACTGGTCGACACCGAAGAGTCCGTCCGAGGTTTGCAGTTTTCTCAGTTTAGCTGGCTATTATCGCAGGTTCATCGAGGGCTTTTCCAAGATCGCCCTCCCACTATCCCAGCTGACGAGGAAGTCAGTGAAGTTCGAGTGGACTGACCGATGTGAGTCGAGCTTCCAGGATCTCAAGAAGAGATTAACTTCAGCACCGGTGTTGACTATTCCCGATCCTTCTCGGAGTTTCACCATTTTCAATGATGCTTCGAAACAGGGTCTGGGATGTGTACTCATGCAGGATGGCCAGGTCATTGCCTATGCTTCACGTCAGCTCAAGCCACACGAACAGAACTATCCGACGCACGACTTGGAGTTAGCTGCAGTTGTTCATGCTCTCAAGATTTGGCGACACTATCTTTACGGCGGTCGATGCGAGATTTTCACCAATCATAAGAGCTTGCAGTACATTTTCACTCAAAAGGAGCTCAACATGAGACAGCGCCGTTGGCTCGAGCTCGTTAAAGATTACGATTGCTCGATTCAGTATCATCCGGGGAAAGCGAACGTCGTTGCTGACGCCATAAGCCGAAAGGTGAGGGGTGACTTGACGTACGTCGTTACTCAGCAGAGTCCGTTGATTCAGGAGTTTGCCCGGATGCAGATTCAGGTGGTCGATGCACTTCCCACAGCCATTTCGGGGAGTGTTAGTGCTATGCAGATTCAGCCGACGCTGAGAGAGAGAATCCGGTGGAAGCAGGCTTCTGACGAGTTCGTTTGCGTCATGGATGCAAAAGTCCGCGCCGGAGGCGTCGAGGGTTTTCAGCGAGGTTCAGACGGTGCATTGGAGTTCAGAGGCAGAATCGTGGTGCCAAAAGTCGAGACATTGCGGAAGGAGATATTGACTGAGGCTCATACCGCACCTTATCTAGCCCATCCCGGGAGCACGAAGATGTATCATGACCTGAAAGGGTCGTTCTGGTGGCGAGGGATGAAGAAGGACGTTGTCGAGTTCGTCAGGAGATGTTTTACCTGTCAGCAAGTCAAAGCCGAACATCAGAGCCCGATCGGCCTCCTACAACCACTGCCGATTCCGAAGTGGAAGTGGGAGGAAGTCACGATGGATTTCGTCACGGGATTACCGAAGTCGTCTGAACATCAT